CCCCTCCTCCTCATAGCTATTTATTTCCTGAGAGCCGAGATTGTAAGCTGCCAGTAATATTTGTGTTGCATATATATCGATGAATGTATTAATAAATACATACATTTATTACATTCATTCCTTCTTTTGTTATGATGATTACCAGCTTCTCAGTATTACATTTAAGGCACTGTACTGTAAAACCTGCCAATTTATGATCATTGCCATTTTTCTCCATTAATTGCTTTCTTAACTTTGCATGTTCTACTTACAAATTGTAAATGTGTGCTTAAGTGTGTAATCTGTTTTCTAATTCTCGAGTTTTGAAAATAGAAGATTGTATGTAAGCTTATTTGGTAAATGCGAAAGTATATGGTACCGGTTTGGAAAGTGAAATTTTGGCAAAAGATTTCAAATGAATAAAATTAATAAATTTATTTTATTGATAATTTACCTATTTGCTTCCTAGGTTCGTATTTTTAATCTGCCAGTTTTTCTTTCAAATTTAAAGATATTATATTTGTTGCTGTGCATTCAAATTAATTATTAATTTGTTGTAGTAGTATCATAAATTATGCGCTAATTTTTGTTTGTTACTGATTGCATCCGTTTAATTACCAAAATGAGTAAATTGATGGCAATTTCAAGTTCCAATGTAAAGTTAACGTCTCAGAAATTGATTTCTCATTAGTTATAGCAAGTGAATCATTAACTTCATGCGACCTATTGATTTGGATTGTATTTTTAAACTAGTTGTAATGCACATAAATTTTGAAATACTGCAATAAATTAGCATTAATTGTACTTATAAGAGACTGATTCAAATGAAGGAATGCAAACGTCACTCTTTTTTTTTTTAATTTGATAATTCATGTATAATTACAAAACAAATGAACATTATAAATATTCTAATAACGCGACTAACTAAGAGTTTCGTGACAATATAATCAGCAACATCCTCGACCACCGAAGTCAGCTGGTTTCACTCGAAATGCTCGATTCCAGTCATCATTTGGTGGATAACGACGATAGCGCCGTGAAACAAGAACTAACGGCCGTTTCACCATTTCTGCCGGTGATTCCTTCATCATTAATGCTAATCGTAAGTTCCAAATCTAAATTAAATATTGGATGTTTAATGAGTTATTCGAATGGGAATAATTACATTTAATTATATTATATTAGTTTTAATATTTTGTCTAATCTTACAGTATTTCATTTTCGGTATAATAACATAGTTTATATGAATAAAGATAACATTATATAGCTATCTTTGTTAATTACTTAAGGTCCTTCTGATGAATCATTTTCTGAGATTAGCACAATTTTTCGTTCCCTCAAGCTTTTTGAATAATATTAATGTTAGCAGATGAAGTGCATGGTTGTATGATAGATATACATACTTTTATTAACTTTTATCGCAGTTCATCCCAAATTGGAGTAATTTGACCTATCGCTTTAGATAAACTAATAAACTATTATTAGAAAGATAAGAAACGTTTATATCTACTTTTTGATTACAAAATAAAGGACAGGTCATACAAAGTAAAATATATAAACCTGGCCTCTGAGCACCCGCAATTGACTGTACTTTAAAAAGCGATTCACGTCACGGTCATACTTGAATAAGGTGGCAATATCGTCACATAAGTTTTGTACAAATTGTGGTGTTAACAGTTGGAGTAGAAATGTTCTTAATTCTTCGTTCCATGGCTGTAAATCGTTCAGAAAAGAGATTTATCGGTTCATACTAATTATATAAATTTGAACCATTAGCAATAACAGTATCAAATACCCTCTTATTTAAATGTTGATGAAAAAATTAATCACTCTCCATTTATATTAATACAAAATACTGCAAAAGAAAAACTCTAACATAATTAGCCCATGACAACTGTGCCCAAGCAAACGGAAATTGTCGTAAACGACTGGATGTCTCGGGGTGTTTCACTGGAAATGCCAAACCATTATCGATAGCAGCAAGTTCCAAAACTTTACCTGGTTCATATCTGTACACAAGTAATTATTTTACATCTTTAAATAGCCATTATTTTCTCATCATAGCACGAATAGCAGGAATGGAAATGGAAGAGTATGAAAAGAATTTCGGGAAACAAATTCCAAAGTAAATAAATAAACATACTTAATGAGCCAGTTTTCCATATGTCGATCTGTATTCCGAATAACGTAATCGAGAATGCACAGTTTTTGAAATAAATACTTGAATCGTTCAATCTCTGCCGCTGTTAATGGACATAATTGGCCTCCTTTACTCCACCGCGGTATAATATCTGAGGCACTTACATATCCATTCAGGAATAACTGCAGTAAGATAAATTGTTCAACTCACATTTCAAGGAACTTAATTCATTTGAACCACTCAATTCAGTGCTACTTTTGAAAAAGCTCATTTGCTAAGTTTAAATTGTTAGGAATTTCAGATAGAATTAGAAAATATTTGAGTACAATTTTTGAAATATGTTTAGTTCGAGAACTGAAGAAACCAAGTTAACATACCGAAAAAGGGAACAAAATAATTATGCTTACAATAATAATTTTCAATTGTCATTTAGAATCATTTCGCTCTACCTGATAACTGCCATCTTTTCCTTTTGGTCCTTTGTTTTTATTGCCTATTCCGTTTCTGTAGTAAAATGCTGGTGAAGCAAGTTTCACAACTCGTGTTTTCGGTACTATATGAAGCTGTAACACTTTTTTTCATTGTATTTGTTAAATAATTGTTTCCAAATATCCAAATGAGTAATAAAGTGAATTATATGTATAAACGACTTAAAAAAATGAAATTTTGAAATAAAAATATCTAAATGACATATTAGTTCCTGTAGCGAAGGAAATTATGTAATGATCAGATCATGACTGATCTTGAATTATATAATGAGAAGATCATTATTGACCTTGTGACCAGTAAAATTGACTCAAATAATAAACAAATCACTGATAAAGAAGGATGATTGATGTTGGATGAAAACTTCATTGAGGTTTTCATCCAACATCGATTATGCAGCCATTCCACCACTTACAATACTTATTTTATTTACAATCTCACCTGATGTTCTCTGTCAAAATTTTTTGATTTTTGAAGATATCATGTGAATGAATATAAAATGTCACACATGCAATCCGAAGACAAGAAATATATTAATTATGAGAGATTGTTAAAAATTATTTGTAAATAAGAAAGAATTTATATTTTAAACAACAGTAAAAATTACCTGTAACTTTTCATCAACGAGAGAAGCGGCAGTTTCTGATATGTAACCGTTGTTTGGTATAAGGCATGCTCTTCCAAAACAGCAAAAGCAAAGCATACGCTGAAAATATTTTGGCCATTTGGGGTTTTGCGGCGCAAATGGTTCTTCATCTTTTGGTTTGAATACCGCTATATTTTGATAATTGATATCACGTATGAAATATGATCCTAAAATGAAATTATAATTATTATGACAAACTTATTAAATTACATTTGAATTATTAAATTACATTTGAAATTAAGTTACATTTTTTATTAAATTACATTTGGATTTTAGTTTCTGAAATGCAACAAATTGAGTTGCTCTTGTTCCGGATAGTACACTACCAAAATTTTCAAAATTTCAAATTTAATAATATCTGTATATTGAAGTGTATAATGAGTAATAAAATTTATTTGGTAATATTAGTAGAAAATTATGAAGAGAGAATTAATAAATGGAAGAAAACATTATTGGTTTTCAAAATTTTTACCGGAACTGCCAGCTGCAATTCGTATTGGTTGTATGCCAGCTTTGATTGCTTCCAGAGCTCGTTTTAAATTTTGATTGAAATCATCATCATTTAGTATTTCCTGTCCTGACGATGCCACATAAGCATGCACCTTGCGCTGCCATACCGAATCCGGATATGTTGATGTTGATGGTTGTGAAACCGACTGTGAAGTTTCCTGATCATTATCATTTAAAAATGTTTCAGTTTATTTTACCTGCTTCATGAAATTATAATAGCAGCTTTTGCATTCAGAATCTGGAATGTTTCAAACAACTACAAATGTTTTGGTAACAATTATACTAATTAAATTATACATAAATTAAGATACCACATGCACTCCATTGTTCAATTATAAAATTCCATGTAACAATTACAATCTTTAATTATTTAATAGTAATAGCTTGGGAAGATGAGTACCACCATTGCGTAATTTTCCTCAGACTTGAATGTGAAACCAGTATGCGAGAAATCGGACTGGTCACTTATCTCCGATTCTTGCTTTAAATTGATGAAAATGTCTACCGGTACTGTTTGTAGTTGTGGATCGTAACTTTTAGTTTCCACTGTCATCTACCACCACTCTAACGAGAACATAAATATCTTTCATGAATAACTCCTTGCTGGAATACAATCATGAATGTTAGCATCTTATCAGCAAATCACAAATGCGGCGAAATTATTCGATCGTTACAAATGGTGCAACTTTTTGTCAACTATTACCGCCATTACCGCCTAGCATTTTGAGAGATGTCAAATTTTCGAAAATACTATGAAAGAAATATCTTATTGGTTTAGACAGATTGTCCACTAACAACTTAATTGATATATGCAATTGTAATTTTTGTCAGATAAAAGGAGGGTCACGACGACTGGCTGATATTACTGAGCTCAATTGTTTTTTTTTTAACCGTTAAACAGAGATCAAACTCATACCAATTTTAATCGATTCGAGAAGGCACAGTGGCGCTCACCACAGAGTTCTTAATAAACATTGCAATTATCTCATCTAAAATTCACTTTTATATTTGCTAAAGAAGAATAAGGAAGACAATCAATCATATAATATAATATGGAAAATTGAGAGAAGTTTGGTGCAGTCTGGAAAGATTAAGTCTTATGAATAATTTGCAAATATTTAGAATTGACTTAGATGAGTTGTATTTACTTTTACTTTTAGGAGTAAATTCTAATCGACTGATTAACTATCGTTTGTATTTTGAAATATTTCAATGTTCTGTCGGACAGCTATAATGTTGGAAAAATTAATTTGAATTTTTAAAAATTACAACATTTTCATTTTAATTCCAGCAATCGATCGGTTATTCAAATTTTACCGTTTCCATTATTCATTATGGTCATATCTAATTTGGAATATTATTTTAAGCTATTGCAGAATTAGGATTTCTTGTTTCAGACTGTGAAGATTTAGTGATTCTTTTTTTTAAACTGAAACAGTAAAATCTGAAATGTGAATGGAGATGAAAAAGAGATTTGAATGTCTTTTTTCTTGTTATTGGTGTTGTTTGTAGTGAAAATTTAACGAAATAAAGATAGGAAAGTACTTTAAATGAAAAAATCTGGTTCAAATGAGTGCTAAAAACTATGGCCTTTTTTTTTAAATTCTTGTTGTTCATATACACAACCGGTTTTTTTAGCAAATTTTGCATTCCAGTTCTTTATTGAAGAAGTTTTCCATATTGCTATGCAAATAATATTGAAAAACAGGATTTAAGAAAGGAATGGAGAACGAAGGAAGAAAAAGTTATGGTAAGTACAATTCACCCGTATATATTTACTCTCATAAACAAGAAGTAAATGAAAGAGAATGTAACTAACTATTCTGACTTATTTTGCAGAAGATAACTTTTTTTAAACATATTTTAATAATATGAAAAGATTTTCCCACTATTCATTTCATTTAGTGAAAGTTTATTGTGGTAAAACTCCTTTCAAATATTTACTCTATTTCAAGAAATTCTCACCACCTTCTCCCACATCTTTTCTTCAACAATGATCTTTCTGTGATTTATAAAATTTAAATTTTGTGTGACATTTTTATCTGATATATGGAATGAGAGCAATACTGAAAATCATTGACCGTTTTTTCTCTTCTTGGAAGTTATAAATTAAGTTGACATATCGATGTCAACTAATGTGACAATGGAAATTGATATTTATGATTCTGAAATGAGTAAAGTTAGCTCTCTGATACATGAGAACTATTCAGATATTGTGGCTTGCAAAAAAAATGATAAAAGAAAAAAGTGATGTTTGATCTCATATGGTCATTACTTTTATGAAGGTAACTTTTCTAATGAATGCAACACATTGCGCTCATATCGATTAGTGTTACTGATAAGCAGAAGTGAATAATTACGATAAAATTGGGATAAAAATAAAACGTGAAATATTTATTGGTCATCGATTATCTTAAATGTCAGTACTAATTGCATAATTGAAGAGAAAAATAAACGAATAATCATTTCGATTAAATGATTAAAGATTAAGAGAAAAAAAGGGATCGAGTTTTAATATTTTTGTTTCTCATCAGTAATCAGGAAACAATTCATTTTATTCGTTCCATAATCGATCGTTCCAGGATTTCGGTTTTTGATGTTTTAAATTTTTAAATTTTTGGATTTACATCAGGAATTATTCTTGTTGAAAAACTGGAAGGTTGTAAATAACATCGAAAGCAATTAGCAGAATATTATGATAGCATGCAAAGACGAAGTATTTTACATTCTAAAAATTTCTTTTCGGAACATTTTCACTAAGATAGATGCGATAGTGGGAAATAGCAGAATAGACAGGAAGGTGCGGGGCGGGGTTCGATGGCAAACGACGTCAGAAAAATTGAGATGCGTGATAAACAAATATAAAGAGGAAATATATACTTCTTTTTCCGCCTTATCCAACCAACCAATTTTGTTGCACAACTTTGAATGCATATGCAGCAGAGAAATATATTCTCCTTCAATTCATTTCCATTCCATTACCGTCCGTAAATTTAAATTATTTTACTGATTCAATCCGGTAACTTCCCCGCTTAAATCAATTGTTTGTGTTATGCCAAGAAATGTTTGATTCTGAAATAAAAGATTGAATAAAATGAAAATTAATTAATTCTTCCATTAAAAATTATCGTGGAAACTATTTTATTAATCTTTTGGATTCCTGATTAGAATTAAATTTGTTAAATTTTTTTTAGTCATTAATTAACTAACCTTTTTGGATTCCTGATTAAAATTAAATTTATAGAATTTTAAAACATCGGTTTAATAAATGGATTAGATGTTACGTTTAGGATGTTGATGAAATTGTAAAAAAATTTAATCTGAAACTTTTTTATATATCTTTTGCAATCGTTTCTTTCATCTTGTTTTCTTATTAATAATTATGTTTATATTTCTTTCTAAATTTCAATATCATATCACTTTATAATGTTTACTTTCGCATTGTATTTCCAAGGAAACATTTGAATAATTTGCTATCTTCACTTGATCAGACTGATCTGGGAGAGTATATTAGAAAATTTAAGGAATTAAATTTTAATTCCACATATGCATCACTTATTTTACTCGTTTATTTCAGAAATTGTATTAGTAAATTTTTTGCTTGCAAAGTTACTCCTCAATAAATAGAACCGGTTCAAAAATTTTTGAATGAGTGAGATTCCAATTAGTTTAAACGGCCGATAGATACTATGCAGTTAAAAACTAAAATTAAAAAAGCATAAAACGGCAGGATTGCAATTTACAAAATATTCAGAAAACGATTGTAATTTATTAATTGAACCAGTAAATGTGTTAATTGACACAATGATGTATTTCAAATTCATCGTAGCTCATTTAATTTCAGAGCATCAAATTTTCGTGAAAGTTTGATAGAGTAGAAATAAATTTCTTAAGAGAACTACCAGTTTTCTAATTAGTTGTCGATGATAATTAATTAACTAAGATATTATTAGTCTTTTTATCAATTATCGGTTTTTTCTGATGAATAAATCAGCAACTTAAGTGCCTAATATTGGTAAAATAATGTAATCTGAGAGGCAATTTTTTTTGTACTGTCAATGACGGATGGGTTTCGTGACAGATTAATTATCGTTAGAAAAGTGAAACTGATATAACTCATTAATTAAACGACTAATACTTTAATTAATATCCTTTCATCAATCAATTACACAAAATTAAAGTAATTGCGTTTTTTTGCTGGAAAATTTTTCATTAAAACAATTTTTTCTCTCAACCTTGACTAAATTTTCACAATTGATTATCCTTTTCATCTGATTAATTTTTACAAAAAAACTATTAGACTGGTAAGTGCATTACGTAGGAAAGAAAAAACCATCATTATTTATCCGTTCGAGTAGAAGACGTAAAATTTGTCGTTTATAGTTTTTGATTTTGAATTCGAATTGAAAGAAGGAAGTCATTAACTAAAGAAATTATATTTCCTCTTTATTCTCTTTACTGTCGTAATGCTATTCTTTTTGATTATAAATTTTGGTTGTTGTTTAATTTTATTTAGTTTTTTTAGTGAATAATTTCTTCAATTCTGATATACCACCGACAAAATTATTCTATTTCTGAATCACAGTATTGCTACTGAAATTAAAGATATTAATGTAATGCATTAATATCTAGAAGCTTACGATAATGCGAGTACCTGAGGGTGGATGACAATAGCAAAACTTCTTTCAGGTGCAATAAACAAGACAGTCAAGTATTTAATATACCATTGCACAGATTTCATTTTTTTAATTTGCACCAATTTTTAGGTTCAACTCAAACGCTTATCTTCGGCTTATTCTTTGTTTGATTGGAAAACAACAAAAGTCTTAAGGTATTTATCATTATTTTAATGGAAGATAAAAAATTATCAGAACTTGTCAAAGTTGGATGATAGAAATATTTTGCTCTATACGTTAGGATCAGATAGAACACGATTGAAAGCTTTTTAATATTGAAAAAAAAATCTTCATTTAAGAACTGATCCATGAACTGTTTAGATTTTTATTACAGATTGATTAAAACAGTTCATGTAACTTTCCCCGAATTTATTAATTTGGATTAATTATCCTTTGTTGCTACACTAGAAAGGTCAATCTTTTTCAATTCTACAACCTGTCCTCAGATATCCAGAATTTACTGCAAAGGACACTAAAAGATCAGGACTGCATTGAAAGAAAAGTGAAATAAGGACACAAATTTGACTGGTTATCTTTGATTTGCCATACAATAATAATGATTAACACAACGACCGTACTTTTAATCAGAAAAACATGCCAGAGAGAAAGTTTAGAATTGCGAACCAATTGCGTCTTTTTGCATCTCCTGAAATGTAAATTCTATAATTAATGCCGTATCGTATTGAATGGCTATTTTTGTTTGTTTGTTTTGTTTAACCGCTGGGAAAAATTTGATTTTGCTTAGGATATAAATGAATGAAAGTTAATTTAAAATATCTCATCCTTTCCTATAGGGCCCCTTAAAAGAGAATGGGTAAATGGAAAGCGGGATGTTTCCACTCCTCATGTCAACAATAAGAATGGATTCTATGGTTACTATTTATCATATTTCATATATCAAAATAACCGGTTAGCTACTCTCATCTACACAGATCAATGATCATCCTCAACTTCTATCGATTAATTGAATTTCAATCTTAATGAGCAGTCTAGAAACATGGAAAAATTTTATTGATTAGAATCAAAGGAAAAAAGCCCAATATTCTGTAAAACTGATAGAATTTTTAGGAAAAAAAAAGTTCCAGAATTTAAATTTTATGCTATGCAATTTCATCTCATTTTTTTTTCACGTCGTTGCGGCGCTATTAGAATTGATAAAAATTGATGTATTTGTTGATTATGTATAATTTTAACAATATGCTGCGCAGTTTGCATGAGCTGATGCATTGGTCATCCAAATGCATGGATTTTATAGCAGAAGGAGGATGAATAAAATCCAGCTAACATTGCTATTTTGCCAGCTCATAGTTATCACTACTGCAATCAAAGTGATCAACAATGGCTTAGCACCACCTGAAATTGTTCATTCACCCATAGCAGTCAAACGTTTGTTTTTTACTTTTTCAATTAGAAATTATAATTTCAAATAAGATAAATAAGCCAAAAAGAGAAGTGATTTTAATAAATCGTTTGTTTTTTTTAAAATAAATAACAACAATTAAGGGCGCAATGAATTGATAGTAATTAATTCATCACTACTAACAGATAATTTAATCTAATAAGTATAAAAATGAATTTGCTTGATAAATTTACATCGGTTTGATAAAATTATTTCATTTTTTTTGAGCTACACGAAACCAATTTGAAAATATCTTATTCCAATTAAATTAAAAAACCATTTAATTCTGATAGTTTCCATTTGCTGCCGTAAATTACAATGATTACTATTCACGAAGATAAGAGAGAGCGGCACTTTTTGAAGATATTAGGAAAACAGCCAACGGCATTTGAGTTTCTAAATTTGTATGAAATGTGTTATTATAAAACCGAATGGAACTAGTTTTTGATATAATTAAACACTGATTGAAATGATACCATTATTTATTCGGCGATATCTGTTGCTGCTGTAACAAAAATAAATCATTTGATAAAAAAAAGTAATGTAAAATAAATGACAACACCAAGAATGATTGCTTAAATTGACAGATCAAAATGCAAATTTCAGACGCTTATTAATTTGACTGACAAAAATTTTGCGACCAGGAAAATGATGAATAAGAAAGAAATTGTGGTATTTTAATAAAAATTAGAATTGTAAATTCAAATAATTGTCCAAGAAGAATAATATTTATCGACTTTTTTTCTTTTATCTATTTGTTATTTTATCTATTTGCTATTTACTAGTTTTTTGGATAAATTTAAGAAAGTTGAATTGAAGAATGATAACTAATGCTAATGATGATAATGAATTAAATCTTAACAGATGAGCTAAAATTTAATCAAAAACAAGCTCTCTCAAGTTAATATCATGACTTTACAATATCAGCCTTTGCTACAAAATCAAACTTTTTACTTCATTCTGGATATTTGAATTAAATTTAATCTCTGATTTAATGAATTTGCATTTGTAGCGAGGTGTATTGTTAAAGCAGAACCGTTAGATTTGGTATTTGTGCTGGACAGTTCAGGTTCGTTGAAGAATAAATTTCAAGATGAAATCGATATCATTCGTCGGATCGTTAATCATGTTACCATCGGAGAACTCGCTACACGGGTTATGCTTATACAATTCAGGTCTTTTTGCTACTCAAAATATTCGCATCTTAAAAATTCAACAATTTTTACATTTTTTAATTTGAATAAAATTTTTGCAAAATTCATTTAATGTTCACATTAATTTATCACATAATTTTCTGCAAAATATATTCCAAAAAGTTCTGAAATTAGATTCCAAATTTTGAATTTTTAAGAAATTTTCAAAAGTTTGATTGAAAAACAAGAGAATTTTATGAAATATTTTTTAGTGGTGTTCAACATTTGGAGTTTAATTTTAAGAAATTCAAGGATCGTGAAGATATTCTTGGTGCTCTAAATGTATTGAGGCATGTGTCAGGCATAACACGATTGGGTGATGCATTTGAATATACTCTTAGTATGCTGAATGAAGAAAATGTAATATGCATAGTTTAAAAATCTTTGCTTAACTTTTATTAGACTATTAGTCATATTTCCAACTACTTTAGATTTTAAAAAAATCCAATTTAAAGAAATCTATACAAATAACAAATTAGCGCTGTCATATTATTTTAATTATTTAATTAGATGATATTTTAGTTAGTTACGTTCAGTATTTAATATCCCCCTTCGCGAATTTTAGCATGATTTCTAAATGTAATCGTGATATCATTTTTGTAAAAAATAGATTTTATTAATTAAATTACATTCTTACATCTAAATGATTTTGAAATAGCATGTAATTTATTCATGGAAAACTAAAAAGAATTAAATTTTTGAAATGCTTAAAATTTTAAGGGAATAAGGCCTTCAAATGTACCAAAGATAATATATTTATTATCGGATGGTCGGACACATGATTATCCCAAAGATACAGAAATGGCAGATTTATTGAGGCAACGAATTAGCAATGTTGATATCTATGCTTATGGAACTGGTGAATATGTTGCTATGGATGAACTGATTGCTATTACGAAGGTAGATAGCAAAATCAACAAAATATAATTATTACCACTTCAATCTTTTTTATATCCCTTGAAAATTATGTAAAATTTACTGGACAAAATATCGAAATATCACTTTGTTGTTGCTAAATAATTTGAAGCTAGCTAAATTAGATTAAATCTGATAAAGAAAAATCATTAATAATTTATTAGATATTTGTATCGAAAATAGAAGCAGTTCATAAATAAAGTTTCCATTTCACTTTTTAATACATAAACAAAACGCACATAATTTCGATATTTGTTTTCGTTTCTTACAGGATCCAAAAAAAATTGTAACAAATCAAAATTTGGAAGATTTGGAGCCAATATTTGATCGCTGGAGGGGCACTGAAGTTTGTGAGAAATTACCTGGTACGTTTGACATGAAATAAAAAATCTTACTTATCAGATCCTGAATATGAGTTAATAAAATAACAAGATTCATTTCAAATTTATGAAAAATTAAACTTCATAGTAATACCGACTGCCGTATCTTTTTCATTCTTTCTGATACCATAAATTCTCTCAAAACAGTGCGCACTCTTGTTTTTATTGTTGATACCGGAAAAGTGGATAAAAATGGAAAGTTTCATTTAATTATTTAAGTAAACAGCGTATTTAAGTTTGCATCCGTGGATCTGACAAACCACTTGATTTGATCCTAATTATTGATTCTTCCGAATCAGTTGCTCACCTTTTTGATGAACAAGTGAGATTTGCAATTGAACGGATCGTCAAAAACATTAATGTACATCCGGATGCTGTCAGGTAATTTCTTGATTCTTGCCTGGACCGTTTTATTTATCAACGTATGTTTCTTGTATTCCGCTGAAGAAGTTGATGTACAGCTAATGTTTCCAGAATTCTGAATAAGGGGTAACATGAATCAACAAAAAAGTTTGATAGATTGTTAGGCTTTAATACTTTAGCGGTATTGCTTTGAATAATTATTCATAAATATTTTGTTGCACAATTGTAAATAAATAAATAACCTCATTCCAATCATTTACTTCAAAATTATTCACTTTTTATTCGAAGTTTACTTCTGTGAGAGAATAATAATTGAAAATTAGTGGAAACGTTGTTTTTGACAGATAAGTTGAATAACTCTCGACGACAAAACACAGCAAAGTGTTATTAGAACGGGTAAGTTGCAGCAGTGCTCGACGACAAAACATAACAAATCATTCAAACATATTTGCATCGTCTGTCTGCTCTCACTCTCTTGAATATTCTTTCACTGATATAGTCTTGCTGTTATGCTATCAATAAATACAAAACAACCTGTCTCGACAATGTTTCAAGCCTTATTCATTAACGTTTATCAACTTCTCGAAAACGAATGAATAGCATTCCATCTTTTCAAACTTGCTTATACTTTTGAAAAAATGTTGACAAACATGACACACAAAAGATTGTTTCTATTTTGCTCTCAAACCAATCTACGCAAAATTTAAAATGTCGCTAGTGTATATGTGCACGGTATCATTCCAGTCGAACATAATGTTAACATATAAAATCAATAAAATTTAATTTGATTTATAATAAAATGAAATAACTTAAATTTGGAATATATTTTGCAGGTTGGCTTTAATTACTTATTCTGGGCAAGTATATATTCATTTTAAATTCAACGATCCACATATTGGTAACAATACAGCGGTAATAAGGCGTTTAAATGCGTTGAAATCAATTAAGGGTACTACTTCGACACATATGGCATTATATCAAGCTTACAAATTGATAACGGACACTGATAGTGAAAGTGGTGCAGTTTTCTTCTTCCTTTTCAGAATTTATATTTCACAAATAAGTTGGAACAATTTTTGAAAAAACTAATTTCGAAAGTACGTATAAATGGTTGCAGGAGTACGTGAAGGAATTAAAAAGATGGTTATCATATTCACGGATGGACACTCGCAGTATTCACCACAAGAAATGGCGCTACGTCTTAAAAATGAAAGCGTGGAAATTTTCGCGATAACGCTAACCCCCTCACCATATGCAGATGAAAGCGAACTATTAAGCATCACACAGAATGCAGACCATATTTTTACGCCTGTTAATTTAAAGGTTCTAATAATAGCAATGTAAATGTAATTAATGAAATTAATAGTTCTTAAATAACTTAACTTGTGCTTTCAACTTTGCACGCAACATATTAACTAGATAAAATTCAAGCCAACTTACGTGAAAACCAATGTCGCTTCAGTTAGAGAAAATGAAGCAGAATTTAGCAGTAATGCTGTTCAAACACAATGAATTAAACATCATTTTTACGCAGTATGGCATAGAATTTAAGTTAACGTTGCAGTTGTTTTATAATTGTTCAACATTTATGCATTTGGCAAGAGTAAACATTTATTGATATTGAAATAAATTATAGAACTAATTATTTATTACATATAAATTCAAAAATATTGTCTATTTCAGGACTTTGAAACTAAATTTCTCCCATATATTGGCTTTGGTTGCGTTGGCGTAGATTTGGGATCTAACCCAGAACCAAGGATTCGTGGTGCTACCGATATCACCTGTGACAGTAATTCTCTTACATTTACTGTCCGAACACGCCGGACAATGACAGGCATTATGTATGCACAGCAGTATTACGATGATACAAGATGTGTAAAAGTGAAATTTTATTTTATTTGATTAATGAATCAATCGTTTTAAGATGAATTCTTTGCATAATCAATTCGAGCAGAAAGCGAAAGGATTGCGTATGTTACAGATTATCGAATTTCAAAAATTTATGGATTTAAATTCTTTAAAGGAGTTTATTTAGCTTTAAAAGTATTATTGTGAGATTATATAATGACTTATTTTTGCAGATAACTGATGGATCATCAAGGGAAATCTCAATCACATTTTATGAAGGAACATGTGGCCTTATTAAAATGCCAGCTACGGTATCTTCCTTTTTTTCTTATATCCACTGAAAAACTTCATCAATTAATTTTTCCTCAATCTTCTTGGGATATTTTTTATTCATCTTTTATTTATAGCAACGCGATGGCTATGTATTCAATATTACTGTGATATTGCAATTTCATCCAATGATCATCACAAGAGCTGATCAAGTATTTTGAATTGTTATAATACCATTTAATTTATTTGAATTTTATATAGCATTGTCATGAGGGGATTTTTCTGAAAGTTACAAACTTCTTTTATTTTGAAAATGATTTACAATGAAAATTACAGGGTTTGAGTATATCATGTTTCCATCAACAACCGGTACCACCACAAGAAGTGGGTCGTTTATCAATTAAGAAACTTACTGATATCGAATGCTCATATCGACTTCATCGATTTGCGCCCGATCAGTGCGTTCCAATGGATGCTAAAGTTGGAGAATCGTTATATCATAGATGGGAATGCGATAGTCGTAAGTTCATATTAAATTCAAACCTTACTAATACATTCAAAAAGTAATACTCATAATTATAATCAAATATGCAATGGCAGATTATCTCCTTAATAACATTTATCAAGCTTCTGTTAGCTGTAGGAAAGGATTCTTTAGTATTAATTCACTGCTTCCATAAAATAAATACATTTATGTGATTACTTTAAGATCAAGCAGAAATTTAGTTGTAACAAGATACAGCAAAATGCCATAGTACTACATCATATCATAGTTGTATGATTAGAGATGAACAGATTATCTTCTTAGTTGTTTTATGGCTTTTATTTTTCTATTTCTTAAATTTCACTTCATTTCAGCATCAAATTATCACTATCTGGTACATGATTGCTTTGTCAAATCAGAAACGAAAAATGTGCTAATTATGGATTCCAACGGGTAAGCATCAATAGTCATTTCATCTCAATTATCTACTCTGAACTTACAATAGTATGACTTGTTTCTTTCAGATGTGAAGTAGATCCATATTTCCTGGAAACTCCTGATTACACGAAATTTTCTGAGAACTGGAAAAACAATGCATATGTTTTCAAGGAAATGAGTGTATTCAAATTCCCGGGAGATGGGAATGTTGTCTTTCAATGTCAAATATCATTGTGTGATATGGAAAGCAATGATCCATGCAAGACTATGATTGTTAGTTCTATTTTTTGATTTAATAAAGATTTTTTCAAGTTTCAAAAAGACAGAATCATAAGTTTCGTCATATTTCGTATAAGAGAACTATGAATACGAATACATTTAATCCACAGCATTCCTTTTTTTACAATTATTTCATTTGGCATAAATTTTTTTTGAAGCCTCCACGCTGCTCATCTAATTCGACGTTAAGAAGGCTAGAACGTGAAACACAAGCTAAGATAAAACCCGGATTCGCAATGACCTTTAATGTGGAAACCCGAACGTTAAATGTTTTGGAAAATGAATCAACTCGGCCGGTTACTTCTATTAAGTATTGCGACATCAGAATGTAAACAATGTTCCAATGAATTACAATCTATGAATAATAGCTTTCAATTCAACAAATAAGCGGCAAAAGCCTCACAAAAAAAGATTTCTTTAGGTAACTAGGAAATTTCAAGTTTAAGGATGAAAAATACTGCGATTACTTTCACTTATTTGAATTCTGCAATTTTAAATATGAAAAGTTGTTATTTAACATCATATTAAAAATACACTCATTTTGTTTTATAACATTCGTTCCATACAGCGGGTATTTCGTGTATAAAACAATATTTTTTTCATTTATTGATTGCATTAGATATCATCTTGACATTTGACCTCTTTTTACCTTTCCTTCAAGAATACTGGCAAAGTGATTTATCACAATATCAAAAATGATAAAGAAAGTTTATGTCATCGAGTTGTTTCTTCTATTTCACTGACATATGTCATGTTCAAATAATTAATTATCTGTGCAAAAGGTGTTACTTTGTAGCAAATTGTCTGATTAGTTGTGCATTTGCTTAAGTTAATAATGATAATAAGTATTGGTTTTGTTTGTGACTTAGACACATGCATGTAAATAATTAGTAGGGATCTCATCAATTGCAACGTTTTTTTTGGAAAAGAGTATGTTTTGAAAATAAAATTTAGTTTTGTTTAAAAATTCTGGAAACTTTTGAATCTCAAGCAATGTTTTCATGTAATGAATTATTTTGAAGACATTTCTGCTTAATTTCTTATATTATTCCTTCATGTTCATTTCTCTCCAATATTTAAAAAGATCTATGCGTGAACTTCATGTACTTTTGGGGGAGTACAACAAACACCCATCTTTTTGATGCAAAAAAGGAATAAATGACTAGGGATTATAATGATTAGTTATTTCTTCCGAAAGCCTCTATTTAAGCTCTTCACGAATAATTAATTAAAGTTAACATTACTAAGAGGAGGATAATTGATCTGTTTCTTGGTGGTCAAGATGTATTCAAAAGTAATGTGCAGTGGTGTAAAACTTTTAAGTAAGAGTACTCGAGATTAAATAAGAATTTTCCAATGCTGCCACATCGGAATTAAGAGATGAAAAACGATTATTTATAATTAACAAAAGAAAGAAAATTCAATATTGTTAACTGTTTCATATTCAAATCGGTTTATCAAAAATCCTTTGCATTTGTAAAGACATAGCTCATTTAAAATGAGCAATAATATCAAAATTTACGTAATTTTATCACTGAAAACTTTAATAGACGGTTGTGTCTTCTGGAAAGATCCTTGCTAATGACGAGGTCATGAGATTGTTACTGCTAGAAACTGTAAAATGTTAACAACTTGAATTCGCGAAAAAATCTCTAGCCTCCGATTATACTTGATAAAAACTTTATACTTATTGATTAGAGGAAAATACATAAACTACTATTATTTTTAAAGTCTTAGAGGAAATCTTTTTCAGGACAAATGCAGGAAATGATGCTGAGTCATCCAAAGTTGCGGGGTGCTTTGCTCTTACTTTTAAAAATTCCATTATCCATTAAGTATTTAAAACTTCAAATAGTACAAAAACACTAACTTGTTGAATACTTAGGTGAAATATAACCAGCAAATTTGTCTAAATACAACCCACAAAAGTCTCATGTTGATAATACTCGGATACTTGTTAATTATTTTAAACATAAGTGATAATTCACTGATTAGATACCCCTAGGTCAGTCAAACTACTTTATTTTTACTTTAAATTCCGTGCTTATCTTGCTTAGACTTCCATTCCTCGCCCCTTCTATCATAATCCAACGAGATGTTAAATAGGAGAGTTGGGTATTTTGGTATTTATGTGTACTGGAAAACAGTTTGGGTCAAATAAATGAAAGAAGAAAATGACCCAAATTATTAATGCCTCATTCACTTAGAAACAAGTGAATATAAGCCAACTAACTTTAATAGTAGGAGAATCACCAATTTTCAACATAAGCAATGCGAAAATCTTGCAGCACTGAAGAAATAGTGGATTCAAAGGGAAGAGTTTTACCAAGACAAATGATTCGTATCCAAAGAACTGAACCAGAAGAAAATGTTGTACGAACTGAGCTCCGGTTCGTTATCTACCAGTCGAGAAAGGATATAGAAGAGAAGGGTCTTTATGAGGCAAGACAATTCAACAAAATTATTATTTATGCTTCAAAGTATCCTAGTGAAAAATTATTGCTTTTTAAAGATGTGATCTTAAAATAAATGTATAGAAATTTAAAATTTTGATTTTCTATTCGAAACAACGAGAACTCGAAGACCAAAGCATTTTATTGAAGTTTTTGAAAGTTTTTCTCAATTAAATGTAATATTTGATATTGGAAACTAAAGAATTCAACAAACAAATAATTGAAGAGGAACAAAACTGCCCGGAAAAATACTTTCAATGTATTATTTCAGGAAAATATAGTCAATGAAGCGGTACATTGTCTAATGAAAAAATATGCGGAGATGAACGCGGGAGAAGCACTGCCATCACATGCTCCAAAAGTTGATAATAGCAAAATTACAAAGGTTTTAGAGCTTAATATCTGTTCAACTATCATCAGATAACATAAATTGTATGAATATACAGTCAGGCAAGTATAATCATACTAATGGACAATAATTCCTCATTGGTTTTACAATAAATTATATTTTGTTTCTGCAAATAATCCAAACCGTTACTTTCTGCAGACGCTATCAAAGGACAACATATCAAAGTCATCTTCCTCAAAATTAAACACTGATAAGGAATGGATAGAAGAAACTCAAAAACGACTAGAAGTTTGTCTTATGTATCATACTATATCAATAGGTCGCTTATGGTTTTCACTGAAAGAAGATTTCAGAATGACTAATTTCAAAGAATCTCACTTCTAAAATTTCCTATTTGTCTCATCGGTCATCTAAGTTTACGGGGGAATAACTGTCTGGAAACAACTATTCTTTAATATATGATTTGTCTAAAATATTTTATGAGGGGAGTTACTTAAGATCTTATTCCTGATTCAAGTATACTTCCAGATCATTTGAATAACATTTTAGTCGGTGGCAAAACGAGTGCAGACAATTGGGAAAAGCGCAACCTCGATTGGTCCTGAATTTGACGCTTTCCAGACGCAACTAACGTCATTGTTGACTGATTTAGAGGAACGGAAAAAAGCTGGTGGTAGTCCTGATGCTACTTATGGTCAAGTTATTCGCGAAAAACTTGAGCAATTGCAACAATTCGTTGCAACAACTGCTCGTGTAAGGAGTTACAAAGAATTTTCAAAAAATTTGTTAGAGCTGTGAAGTGAGAAGGAATTATACGATTGAAATATAAAGTCTTAAAATATCATTTTCCAATAGAAATTTCTGAATACGATTCTCAGACTTGTTAACAATGAATGAAGTTTAACGTGGACAGATTGCTCATCTCCTGGGAAAAAACTTCCCTAAGAAGTTTCCTCTCTCAGTAATGATCTTCTTACCTGGGCGTATTACAGACATATATGGACCATGACACTCAACAGTAATGCCCTCAAGCAAACTAATAAGAAGTCTATGGCAGATATGATTGAATTCGTTGTAGCAATAAAATACTCTGAACAAAACTGATCTCCACAGTAAAAATCTTTTAAAACACAACATGATGTAAGCAGAGATGGAACTAAAACAAATATTAGTATTTCTGTTGTATACGTAACAGAACTCTACTTCACGTTCTTTCATGTTTTATGCACCAAAAAAGCCATACAAAAAGGAACCATAACCTGGACAGATGGCATACTTACCTAATACACAACTTAGATAATTTCACCCGTGAATTATGTTTTTGTCTCAGTTCACACCCCACTACCCTTTTCATATCATCCGTTCTTGCTCTTCGCATTTCTACAAATCTTTATATCGTTCTCTCAGCTAATATCTTTTCACTCCCACATGTCCAACAACACTACTTCCAGTTACTTTCAATCCCGAACGAATACTACTTGCACTACTCTTCGGCATACTAACCTAAATCTCGACCATCCATTGATAGTAGCTCCGCACGCCATCCTGCTTATTTCATAATGGTTGCATGTTACGATGTGAAATGAATAGTTTCTGAGATATTGTTGTTGTAAGCTGTGATGTGGGGGAATAATGTACTGCTGGCTTTTAACTTTTGTCCAGTCCAGTTTCCCTAAAGTTGAGATAACATGACATTGAATAGTTTTTTCCCTATATTTCATTATTTCATTTGTATATATTTGTTTTTTCGTCCCTATATTTACGATAGCTCCAAAGGATGAACTGGCGCTTAAGTATTTTAGTTAATATTATCAAGCTGTATGTGAGATACCATTGCAGGTTTCAACAGCGGTGAAGAGGCATTAATAGCTTAGTGGAACATATGACTGAATTGGAGCCAGTTGGGACCAAGCAGAAGAGTCCTCGAAAAAATCGGCGAAAAGTATGCTCCAAAATATATTTTGAAATTAACATTTTTTTTCATGCTTGAAATTCGAATAGAAAAAAACTAGTCAGATGTTTTTGTTGTTATAGAGAGATTTTAGAAGTAACAATTCATTACTGCAGCTGTTTATTACATCCATAATTTTCTGAATTACAATCTCCTTTTCACACTGAACTTCCACTGCTGCTAGTCCTATCTGTGCTAATTGTAAAATACTTTAGAGGAGACGTTCAGAATCAACAAGTTCAGAAGAGGAATGGCTCAGCAGTGGTGAAAGTATCCATGGAGATAAGATTTCTGAAGATCAGGAAGAACAACAATTTGCTAGCGGGCCTTGGACGTATGACCTTGATGTTGTACTCGTAAAGAAAGAGTTCGAAATCGAAGATATGTGTCGAGAAATGAATGCTTCCGGTACATTCTTCATCCACAATTGTCATGAATCAGTGATAACAGTGTTAGCATAATTAAGATGAATAATTTCAAGTGACCCTGGAATATTTTACCTGTTGAATCTGATGAACTCCTTATTTAAGATTGTTTCTGGTATACAGGAAAGTCAATCATCACTGAATTCTTTTTCTGATTTTGATTACAAAGAATTGAGTTCTTTTAAAAGTTCTTCAGATTTTACAATTGAATATGTGCAAGAAAACGGTTTGGAAGAGCCTCTATTGTTCAGAGATTCACTGAGCTCACTCGGAATGAAGTATGTTTTATCTGTGTGTAATAACTGTTTGTTTGTTTTCTGGAACTCAGAATTGTTTAAATTTCAAAAAAAAAAAACGAAAGTCGAGTTTTGTGGAAATTTCTTGTAAGTAAGAGTTCTTTTGTTAATGTTAAATCTTTGATATATGAGAAGTGTTTTATACTGTGAGATGATTATGTTGAATTGATGTATGACTTATTAGGATGCCAAAGGATGGGACCCTTACTGTGCGATGTGTGCTGAAAGCAGTTGGTGATCGTTTGGTTGAAGTGGTTGATGTGATGACACAAGGTAGCCGGCAAATGATGCTCAGTGATTTTGTTGATTATTACGAGTAAGTTCTGGGAATTATCTCATTTTTTGTTTTTGCATGTAACTTTAGTTTATTCAACTCATATAAAGTAAACATATCCAAGTTTTTGTTCAGAAGCATTTTTCAACAAATTGTTTGTACAGATCTCCATCAGGAGAACGAAAGGATCTGCTTAACTTACTTTCACTTGAATTTTCTCTCACGTCGCTTTCGAAAAGAGTACGAGGACCAACGTTAGCACAAGAAATCGATTGGGTTGAGCTATATTGGCCAAAAGATTTACGGAACTCCCCATCTACTTATCCTAAAGTTCAGAAGTATATTTTAATTTATATAGACATTTTCATACCATTTATTCTTTATATCTTATCGCAAGTGTTTCTTTGATTGTGTAACAGAGTTTTCATTCTTTTTTCAGTTATTGCTTAATGAGTGTCAAAAGATCGTTCACTGATTTCCATATTGATTTCGGTGGCACGTCAGTTTGGTACCACGTTTATAAAGGAAGAAAGGTGTGTTCATTACAAGTTCTCAACATAAGTCAATTTCAGTAACTTATAGATATTGTGCATTGTAGATTTTCTGGGTTATTGAACCTACGGAAAAAAATATACTGAAGTACGAAAAGTGGATATTAGAAGGGTCGCAACATGAAGCATTTTTTGGTGATCTTGTTGATAAATGCGCTAGAATCGAATTGTATGAGGGTTACACCTTCATTATTCCATCAGGTACATATTGTTTTGCTTCACACAATTTTCTAGAAAAGTCTACAGAATTTGAGGCAGTTAATATTGTACTAGTCATACATTATTATATTTTAGGCTGGATTCATGCTGTGTATACTCCAGAGGACAGCTTAGTTTTTGGCGGAAACTTTCTTCACAGTTTTTCTATTCCAATGCAGTTACGAATCATCCGTTCTGAAAATATTCTGATGGTATGCAAATATCGTTCTCTTTGTTGCTCTTATAGTTGTTTACTTTAGAGTAGAGAAAAACATTATATACTTTCAGATTAAAGATAAATACCGTTATCCAAATTACATGGAAATGGTATGGTATGTGATAGAAAATATTGTTAAAAAAGCAACCGGTCGCATCTACAAAATTAATAAAACGGACGAGGTAGTTTATCGACGATGTACATTTTTCCGATATTTTATTGATTTAAAATATATGTGTTTATCTTTAAGTTCATGAATGATATTGCTCCCGGATATCGACAGTCATTCATTTTATGTAAATCGTAATATCCTTCATGAAATTTTATATAGCTGAAATTTTTCGATTGTTTTCTGATACTCCTTGAAAGTTATATCTTTCAGAGACTGCATGGATAGTATTTAAAAAAGCGCAAAATTACTTTTAGTTGTTTCATCCGTTGAGTAATTTGATTGTTTCAGAGTATGTCAAGCAGTAGTGATCAGAAAGTCGATAGCAATACCTTAGAAGTAAAAGCCGATGCTAACGCTGATGGCATTGTAATGCATGTGGATAATATAGCAAAAAGTGCTGCAAGTAATGGTTCTTGCCAATTTCGAATATTAAAATTTAAAACTAAAATTACCTGAAATTACTTAATTTTTATTGGATAAATCTTTTCATGCTCTATATTGGCTATTTTTATCTCGTTTTTAATATAGTTGTTTCACTTTTTGTGTTCGCTTTGTTAGTTATCACAACTAGGATTACTGCAGGCATAAAAAAAGAAGAAAGCGAAGATATTGTCACATACGAAGGAAATATACCAGTAGGAATAAAGGAGGACATCATGGACTCAGCTGCAGTGCAGGTAGTTTTTTTTTTCTAAAGCTTTTGGCTTTAGTTTTTCGATTCTTTTATTTTACTCTTTGTTTAACAGAACCTGTTTTTAGAAAAAGAAGCTTTAGAAAAAAGGAGAATTTAGTTTATCAAAACATTTTTTGTATATATAAAAATTGAACAAAGTGCAATAGTTGGTAAGAAAATAAGTGAAAAGAATATATGTTCCAAAAAAATAAATATTTGAAGACGCTGCTGTTTTTATTGATACTTAAATTTTGATTATGTAGTGTTCTGTAACAAATGAAAATCTGCATTTTTCGTGGTAGTTCGGAGGGGGAGGGAACCAGAAATGAGCGAAATGTCAAATGAGCACTAGTCTTAGATTTTAATTGGAATCTTGCCAACAGGTCAAATCGTCATATAAAGCAGAAGAAAGCAGTTTGATATATAATGACGGTTAGTTTTGCTTTTTTTGTTTGTTCCCTTCTGTAAATTTAATTTTAAGGAGTGCAATAGATTATTGGTACTAGAAATTTGTTATTTCAATTACTTTTAAGTCAAATGATAATTTTGCTCCAAAAATTCTAGGATTGTTTGATCACCTTTAAATTTCAATTTTTGAGATTCGTGATAAAAATTTCGCGAGAGAGGGCTGTTTTTTATGTAGGCAGGTTCGTATTTCAGAGTATCTCGCAACAATCAGCAAAAAGGAACGCGAAGGGTTTAAATTGTTGTTGGTTTATATGCGAGAGATTGTTGAGAATCATAGAAACTCGACAGATCAGAAAAAGGATAATTTGCTGGATATTTTTGAAGTAATTTAATTAATTTATTTCTTTTACTTTCATCCTGATAGATTTATAGGCTTGTACATAGATATTATTTAGTGATGCATTACCATTGTTCTTCTATAGCAAAATCTTTTTCAGCATGCTCCAGTTTTTGGTTCGGGCCATCGTTAAGTTTTGTTGTACATAAATATTATGTCAGTCAGAAATTTATTAAAACTATAAACTTATCATGGTTTTGCAGAAAGTGTTAAGTCATGAAGTTCCCGAACATTTTCTAGTCGAAAGGGAAAAAAAGAAGAGTGTTGAACAACAAATTTCACCTAAGGTATAATTTGTGAGTGTTTCCTGTTTTGAAATTTGGCACATCTTTAAGGAAATCTTATCATTTCTTAAATTTTCATTTTTTAGTTCAACCAATGGTTGAAAGCTTTTGGGAAAAATAAATTGCCTACAGCCAAACGAAAAGTACCTCCGATGGAAAAAGGTTTGTTTTCAGATCTCGTAATGAATTCATTTTGCATTAACCGCAAAAATTTTTTTTCTTTTCAGCTATCGAAATGCAACAGTTTGTGAGGCCTAAGCCACCGAAATCAAAAGTTAAAAGCAACAAGAAGCCGGATTGTCATAAACCTGATGGACCACTAATTGTGGGTGGCATTCCGCCAGCTATTATGCCAGCTGATGCACCTCAAGCGCCTAACCCATATGGCTATGATCCTTTGGCTTCTGTCACTCCATTAGGGCACAAACAACTGCCTTCTGCTTATAGGCGTACACCTGATGTAATTATTTATTGTCTCTATACTCTGCGATTTTAATTAATCAATTTTATTATTCGTTGATTGCATAGTATTTGAATAAAGTATACACATTTTAGATGGCAAAGGCCCCGCCGAGCCAGAAATTCCGTCTCCAGCCTCAATTGCACAAAGTTGTCGTAGCGACATCCAAAAAAATGGAAGCAGTACCTGAAAAAACTTCAGATAAGTTGTGGCCAACAAGTGTTGCTTCAGCACCTGGATCTTCAAATGATAATAAATCAGTAGAATGTGAAGAAAAAATTATAACTATTGCACAGGCTGGTACTGAAAGGAGCTTTCATCACAATGGTCACTTTTTAATATATATATATACAGATAGATGTATAGATATATAGACTGATGTTGTTTGAGTTCTGACTAATTAAGGTTTAGTAAATGTAATGATTAAAATAAAAGTGAAAGTCTACTCTTCTGGCTATAAATTTCTCGCTATATTTTTTTTTTTATAATATGTTTCTTACAAACTTTCGTTGGTTGTAGAAGCGACGCGATCTCATCGCGATCGAGACAAAGATAATCAGCGTGAAAATCGTCATGCTGTAAAAGAAGAATATCCAGAGTTACAATATCGATCACCTCTAGTACGGCCCGGTCCAAGTAATAAGGGAACAAACACGTTCGTATTTTAGTCGTTCTTTCAACTTAAAAATTATTGCAAAAAAATTAAAAGTGTTCACAAATCATAAAAAATGCAGACTTTCATCAACATTTTTGTTTTTACTTATTTTGGCAGATTAGAATTATTCGTACTTTTGGAAGGTTAATCAAAAATTTTTAAAATCTTCAGGGTTTCGAAACTTGTCCGTAATTCATATCGGGATAAGACTTTTAAACGACGATATACTGATTCATCTTCGGCTGCTGATTGCTGGTAGAATTTTTCATTAAGTTAAGCAAGTTTCTGGAGGAAACTGTTTGAAATATTTCTGGAGGGAACTGTTTAAAATACAGAACTCCAAATAAATCTTAAAGTAATAATTTGTTTTAAAATCCTTCAAAAGTAAAGTTTAAACTCGAAAGATTAAAAAGTTATTCTCATAACATTTGAAATTATTAAAAAAGCTTCGAATGAATCACATAGTAGTTAGTTAAAAAAATAATTTTATCAGATTTTAGGTCAACTGGAAGCAGAGGCACGAGACGTACAAGTGACTGCGATTCAAAGAAAAATGAATATTCAACTTCTTGGCGCCCGGAAACAGATCGTAAATCTAATTCTGCAGATACGTCTGGTATTTTTTCACGATTATTTGCTCCTTCTTGGCCTGGGGAAAAATCAGCTGACGTTCGACATTATTCAGTGCCTGGTGATCCTCGTCTTCCATCTGCGGAAGGTTTTGGTTTGTGTTGTTGACTGTCCTAGTTATTAAATTAGTTGTAAACAGTATCCCGTTTGGACATGTTGTGTTAAATTTTTGACTATTTAAATTTTTTTTTGATTTTTAACGAAGCTGCCAAGTAAAGAAAATTTCTGCGATTTTCCACACCATCGAGCTGAAGTTTAAATGATTATCATTTTCACTTGCTGTAATTTCAGGATTATCAAAATGGTCACCCAATACTAAAGTTGTACATCTTAAAGATCATGAAAAAGGCAGAGACCTTCCGATTGTTCAGCCGACACAAATTGTTGAGGCATGTCTGAATTCATGTCGAATTTTTATGGATTTGTTTGGATGGAAAATTATAAAAATCTCATTTCTTCATTAACGAAATTCTTGTTCAGCTAATAATTTGTCTTTTAGAAACAGGGTTTGAGTACCAACATGAATATTTCACCGTCAGGGTGTCAAAAAATGCCCTGTCCAGTCGGCCTTGTTGGAAGCTTACAATATGTTCCGCTACTGAATCGTGAACGAAATCCCACTCCAGCATCAATTTCTGATACTGACATATCGACGGTTATTTTTTACCCTGCATATTTTTTTTATTGAAGACGAAATTTCAGGCATTTGAATTCAATAAGATTGACTAGTTTTTTGAATTATTTCAGCAGTATGCCCTCGAAAGTGATCATGGTACGGTTGCAGTGGCATCTTCGCTTCCTTTATCTGAAAAATATTCAGTTTCGTCTTCAGGCAAGATTTCTGTTAACATTTGGCTCTTAATGATCAGAGATCATCCTTAAGCTACTTTTATAGTCTTCTTGACTTTAATTGTTTCAGAATCTCATGGGAATGCAGTGGCTAAACCCGTGAAGTCTGCAAAGGAAATTAAAAAACCTGAAATTCGCGATCTTTCAGTCACATTGAATGAAGACAAAGAAGTTGTAAGAACTGATTTTGAATTTTCTTTTTTATGTTTGTATGTTGCTTTTTTTCATGAAACATGAGGTTTTTGTAGGGTGCAGAAATTATGACAGCGGCTGAAGAATTGGCAGAATTGACTAAGGTATTTGATGCAGATGAGCGAGATCCCGAGAAAGAAAAGACTGAAGCCTCGATGGTTTGTTGCTCATTATCAAATTATCATTATTATTCTACTGTTTTGATTTGCATATCTTTACTAAGAAAGAGAGGATTGGAGTCTTGACGTGTGGTG